AGGGACAAATTTCGGACGGACAGCTGGAGGCCCTTTCATCACCACGAGCTATGATTATGATGCTCCAATAGATGAATATGGTATGAACTGAGATTTGAAAGCTTGTTTGCATTGGTGTATGTTGTCAAGTAACTACACTTGAAGGATTAATGTGCTCCATTGGGGAAGTAAAAATAGAAAACAGAACTGTGCTGGGCAACATGGAAACCGTTGGTTTATCCCAACAGCTATAAATTTTGAATCGTAATGCTGCTAAAATGCTTATATGTGCTGGTATTTATTTTATTTATGTATTGTAAGATTTTGATTTTGATCTATGCCCTTTTTACCACCTGCAAGAAAGCCCAACAGAATAGTTTGCTGCATATATGATATTTGGAAATGTAGCTAATTACTTTACTACAATATTGATAGGTCTGATCAGGCAACCAAAGTATGGTCATCTAAAAGAGCTTCACAGGTCTATTAAGATGTGTGAGCGAGCTTTAGTTTCTGCTGATCCTATAGTTACTTCATTAGGGAGCTTTCAACAGGTTATCCCTTCTATCTTGAAGCCATCCCCTTTTGAAAGTTGTCATTTAATAGTTTACTGAGCTCTGTCAATGTTTTCCAGGCTCATTTGTTTTCTTCAGAACATGGAGATTGTGCAGCTTTTCTCTCAAACTATGATACGAAGTCTAGTGCAAGGGTGATGTTCAATAACATGCACTATAACTTGCCTCCTTGGTCCATCAGCATCCTCCCTGACTGCAGAAACGTAGTCTTTAATACTGCCAAGGTATAAATTTGTAAGACCTCGTGCAATGTTATAACCTATTCAGTAGGAACACAGCAATCAAGGTCATAATCTAGGACACAACACTTTTCTTTCCTTTCATGAGCATTTTTGTCATTTATTTTTTATGTTATATTTGACAATTAGTTGATCCTTCTTTGTAGGTTGGAGTTCAGACATCACAAATGGAAATGTTGCCAACAAGTGCTGGGATGTTTTCGTGGGAGAGTTACAATGAGGATATTTCTTCAATAGATGACAGCTCGACATTCACCACTCAGGGTCTATTGGAGCAGATAAATGTCACTAGGGACGCTAGTGATTATTTGTGGTACATAACTAGGTGAGATTGATCCCGCAAACGTTTTTCCCTTTGTTGTCTGATTCTTCATCATTTACTTAATAATTTGTTTTGTGGATAAATTCATTTACTAAACTCGTAGAAAATGAGGGTGAGCTTTTCCATTTATCATAGTTATTGGTTTGCTTTTCTATTGTTTTTCCTCTGACAAGGAGTTTGTTAATGCCCTATTTCCTGCCTTTCTCATCTTATACCTTCCTGTAAGGTTCAATATAGCGTTCATCCTTTAATAGTAAAGAAACAGCATTGAGTACTGGGGAAATAGGTCCTTCCAAAAGCATGAATGCTCTTTGATGATTTCTATTTTTTAATAATTTGTTACTTAAATATGCCTTTGGTCTGTACTAGAAGACTTCACTTACATGTTTAATAATTTTTCTTTCCAATGTGACTACAGAGTTGATATTGGTTCTTCAGAATCCTTCCTGCATGGAGGGGAACACCCCACTCTCATTGTTCAATCAACAGGTCATGCTGTGCATGTCTTTATTAATGGACAGCTGTCAGGTAGACTATTTGTGTTGAATTTTTTCCTGTGGACTGCCTTTTTGTCTGTTAAAAAATAACAATTTTAACATGTATTGGTCATAGGTTCTGCCTTTGGAACAAGACAGTATAGGAGATTCACATATACTGGAAAGGTGAATCTGCATGCTGGAACAAACAGAATTGCACTGCTGAGTGTTGCTGTTGGATTGCCTGTTAGTTCTCCTTCCTTGCATTTGCTATTTTAATAGTCTAAATCTGGGGATTTAATTGATGGAAAAAGGGACAATTCAATTGAACTCTTAAGAGAAAGTGATCTGTTTGAGTAGAAACATATGAAAAATACAAAAAAAGAAAAGGATAAACGACAGTTTTTTCTCCCATTTAAATTAAAACAAAAAAATAAAAATATATATATTTTTTTTATGAAGAATGTGGGTGGACATTTTGAGACATGGAACACGGGAATCCTTGGTCCAGTTGCATTGCATGGACTTGATCAGGGAAAATGGGACTTGTCCTGGCAGAAGTGGACCTACCAGGTTGCTAATTCTTACCTTTGTATTTGTCATTTGTTTGTATTATAGAGGGATTTTTCTCATAATGGCTTTCTCCTTGAACAGGTTGGTCTGAAAGGAGAAGAAATGAATCTTGTTTCCCCAAATGCTTTCTCCTCTGTTGAGTGGATGCAGGGATCATTAGCTGTACAAAGGCCACAGCCCTTAACATGGCATAAGGTATAATACATAGAAAATTTCAACTAGTACTGTGGTAGTTAGCCGTTGTTTTAGGAAATCTGAACCTGTTCTCTTAAAACATTGCAGGCTCATTTCAACGCACCTGAAGGAGATGAGCCTTTGGCTTTGGACATGCAGGGTATGGGAAAGGGTCAAATATGGATAAATGGGCAGAGTATTGGCAGATACTGGACTGCATATGCTAATGGAAACTGCAGTGGTTGCAATTATGCTGGGGCATACCGACCTCCAAAGTGTCAGCTTGGTTGTGGCCAACCAACCCAAAGATGGTATTACTGTTAAGATAGAAACACCAAACAAAATTCTGTTGTATATGATGCAGCTATAAAACTCTTAATGGCCTACAAAGTAGAATATTTCCTTGAATTTTAGTCCCTAACAAATTTTGATTTCCAGGTACCATGTGCCTCGGTCTTGGTTGAAGCCAACCCAAAATCTGTTGGTCCTTTTTGAAGAACTTGGAGGGAATCCTTCAAGAATTTCTCTTGTGAAGAGATCAGTAACCAGTGTTTGTGCTGAGGTCACTGAGTATCATCCAACTATCAAGAACTGGCAAATTGAAAGCTATGGAAAACCAGAAGAGTTCCACAGCCCCAAAGCTCACCTGCGGTGTAGTCCAGGCCACACCATTTCATCAATTAAATTTGCAAGCTTTGGAACTCCTTTGGGAACTTGTGGGACTTACCAGCAAGGAGCTTGCCATGCTACTACATCTTATGACATCTTGCAAAAGGTAATCACTCTCACTCACATGTGTGTACAAGAAACTATAATAAATACAGTGTTTCTCACCTCTTTTACTCTTAAATTTCCCAGAAATGTATTGGACAGCAGAAATGCACAGTCGCCATATCCAACAGTAACTTTGGCCAGGACCCATGTCCAAATGTCATGAAGCGTTTATCTGTTGAAGCTGTTTGTTCTCCTACAGTTTCAAACACCAATTGGAGGGGTTAACTCTATGTTGCATTTAACTATACACTTTCAGCATGTGAAGCAAGGAAGAAAGAATAAAAGATGAGAATACAGGGAAGGAGTTATCTTAGTTAGGTAGGGCGCCATAGCCTTTCAAATGGGGAGAAGCTGTGGCCAAAGATGTTTGATGGCAGGGAATTACGTGTTAATTTGAGTGGGGTAAATTGGACTTTTAAGTAAATTAGTAATGTTTGTTAGTTGTTAGTTAGATAGGCTGAGTTTGCAGTTCTTAGGGTCCTGAATTGGGGACTCTAAAAGTGAATACAAACCCAGTCCCTGGCGTTTTAACCGAATAGGGTACTGGGAAAGTAATGAATTGCAGTGGTGTGACTTGTCTTGTGTTAGTGTCAATGGGGAAAGATGAAACCCCTATTTACGTTCATGTTGGGAGCGGATCCTAGTATGAACATATTTTCTCTATTAAATGTGCAGTTTCTGATGAAATATCAAGTAGCTTGTTGTCAAGTCCGTTTATTTATATTCCAATGTCTTCCACCCATTTTAGATGATTGAATGTATAATTCCGAAAACACTAAAGCAGAGGTCGCAATTGCCACAGAGGTCTAACATTAAATTTTTCATTCATTTATCATAGAGTAAACGATTTTTTCTTATCCAAATAATGGTTAAACGATATTTTCTGACAAAAAAACTTTTAAAATACCATTTTATTATTCAAATTTATGTTTTGTCATATCGTTGCGACTCACATTATCACAATTCTCTTATTCGATCATTACTCACCAAAACCTCTTAAAATTAACTCTCATTGATTTTGTCAGTCGTCGACAATCGAACGATTAGGGTTTGTGTAGCTAATTACCAAAATTCCGATCAATCTCAACCATTAAAATTCAGTCTTTTATCACCAAAAGATTTGTGAGCCTCTCCTCTTCAAAAGTCTTAACAACTTAGACCGAATTCGTTCTTTATTCGTCGTCAGAATATAAATTTGAATAATAAAATGATATTTTAAAAGTTTATGAGCGAGAAAGTGCCGTTTATTTAGGTAGGAGAAAGTCGTTTAACTCTTATCTTAATACATAATTATGAATATTAGTAATTTTTAGATCCTCTTTCACTGCTTCCAAAAAAATAACAGGGGGACCAAAAACTAAAAAGAACATGATGGGCACTATCAAGTATCAACAACGCATGTAACTTGATCATGAAGAGCTCTTGAAAGTTTGGTGAGTAGGGTAAACTAATTAGTCATTTTGGCAGTTGACTATATCTCATTGGCTATGCAAGCTCCTCGTTTCCTATTCAGGGTGAGTCACACCTCTTAGAAGAGCACCAAACATTATGACTTTTTCAACCAAATCATTAAGTTAAACCGAGCACGGGTAGAAATGGTATTAAAGTAGGCTCCAAATTCCTCTTTTTCATCCAAGGATCACTAAGGGTGAGTCAAGCCGAGGATGGTGTCACCAATTAATAGGTCAGGTCGTCAATGAGGCTGAAACTGCACTTAATAGTTCAAACCAATTTGACAATTAGATCTTCAGCCACCTATTGTCCAATCTAGTATTCAGGATTATTCACAAAAGCATAGGTATCTTAAATCACAACTACTATACCACTGGGAAAAGACCATGAGATGATCTTTATAGAAGGGTACATTATGAAGGCAGAATTCACCAGATACATAACCAAGTCTGCTTAAATATATAAATATTTTAAATATAAGTCCACAGTAATAGCATTATATTGAGGTCTATATCCTCCAAAGCTAAGAGACAGAATGCAAATGATCACATAATTAGGGCCACACTAATAGCATATATTGAGTTGAGGTCTATATCCTCTAAAGCTAAAGGCAGAATGCAAATTATCTCATAATTAGGCAGAAGCAGAGCCCAAGTGCTTGTTAATGGTTTGCTGCAGATCCTCTTTCTTTGCTCCAACCACCTTGTCCACAATCTTTCCTTCTTTCAAGAACATGAAGGTTGGCATTGCCTCAACAGCCCAATCTGTAGCAACAGACTGAATAACAAGAAACAAATTAGTTATAACTACAAAATTAATTGAAGTTTCTTCTGCCCCCAACTAATCTGATTTTGTATGTTACCTTGAGTTCATCCACATCAACCTTGAGGAACAAAACTTGAGGCAGTTTCTTAGCCAGCTCCACCAGGAAAGGTGTAATGAAACGGCATGGTCCACACCATGAGGCAGTGAAATCAACAACCACCTGTATCAAAACCACCCACTTCACTTCAGGGAAAACAGACACAACACTTTCCTTTACTTCCATCACATCTAAACCCTAAACCTATAGCATAATTTTAAACATTCAGATATTAAATATTCTTTTTACAATTTGCCTCCAAGTAAAAAATTATTCTGTAAATCTAATTTTAATGAACACGGAATCATTTATATGACATCATAATCATCAACAGTTGAGACATAATTTATGAAAAATAAATAAATTCTCCCACAATAACATAATTATTTCTCTGGTATTATATCAATGTATTTTCCTTGAAACTAACTGAAATCACATATATACTCCAGTATATCATAAAAATATTCATGATATCAAGCGCCGAAAAGATCAACACTAGCAAGCAGCAATCACATTCGAGAAAATCTAAATGAAGTCAGATGAGATCCACTGCTTTTTATCATCGCAACAAAACACTAAGAAATCACAAAAATAAAAAGAAAAGATTGACAGATTATAAACCAAACAGTGTTTAACAGAAACGGAAGAATACCAGCTGCTTAGTTTCGTTGCTCTTCTGGAGCTGGTCGTTCCATGCATCAACGGTGTGGCAACTGATGACCTGACCTTCTTCTGCTGCCATTTTCCTCGATGTTAACTCCGGCCAAACAGATCCTCTTCCTTTCCTATTTCTCAAATGAATTAAAGGCTTCGGTTTACGTTTGCTTTTGTGCCAGTCCCTCTCTCTCCATTAAATATGCAATATGGTTATTCCTATACCTTAAACACCCCTTGAAGTGGCTTTAACTACAAATATGCCATCAAATATTGGAGGCACGAACATCAAAAGATTCCCTCCCATGCAACAACCAGTAACGTTTGATCGTTTGCTACTGCTGGTAGTAAAAGGTTTTAAAAAAATTTCAAATTCCTACCCAAGATTTCGCAAAATGACAAGTCACACCCATGGATTCATAAATTCCAGACTCCCACCTTTAAATTAATATAAAACTTTTTAATATGACGGTCGAAGGATTTGTACTACATTAAATATAAAATAAAAATAAAAATTTTAAAATAACCCTCCACACCTTAAATTTCTCTCACAAGCATCCTCTCTCTACAACTTTGCCTTTTTTGTCGTTTCTTTCTCCCTCTCTCACTACAACTTCCCATTTCTCTCCCTAAGGGCATCTCCAACCCAATATTTGACATGATACTGTTTACTTATACTAATTTGGTGTAGTGTTTGAGCATATTTTTCAAACCATTTTAGTGTTTTGGCATGGAGTTAGAGATGCTAGCATGACACTATTTACTTACACAAATTTGGTGGTGTGGCACTGTTTACTTGTACCAATTTGGCGTGATACTATTCAACTACTACAAAATATATTTTATTTTTGTTATTTGTATTTATGTTAATTTGATTATTATTTATAATAATAAATTCATAATAATTATATAATTCAAAAAATTATGAAAAATTAAAAACAAAACTTTATTTAATGCAAATATTAAACTATAATAACTCAAAATAAAAATTAACACTAATTTAAAAACACTTAAATTAAAAGAAATTACAACATAAACTAAAATAACAATTTAGTATTCTGGTAGATTAGTTTCGGATCCTCTAAGATCATCAAAATATTAGAAAGAACTAGAAGCTCACCATGCTTTTCGAAATGTATTAATTGATCATTTGTGAGAAGAATATACTAATTCGAAAAATTAAATTACTATCAATATGGAATTTTACATTTGTGCTGTTGTTGTCTTTTTTTTTTGGTATCATTTTATATTAAATGTAATGTTTTTCTATAATAAATATAATGTTTATTTGATTAAATAAATGCTTAATTTTATTAAATTAATATAATTTTCAAAGTAATTATTATTTAATAAAAATATCATTCCTAATATTTAATTAATATATACAAAAATAATTAGTGAAATAGATTAATTGTTGATTATTAATAGAAAGAAAGATAAATAAAATATTTTAAAGAATATTCTTTTTGGTGTAATATTTGGTGTGATCGTCCCCTAAAGGTTCAACGACCTAGGGTCAGATCTTGCTCAGTGTTATACCAACGTGCTTTGAACTTTGCCCATCGCTCACGACCTGAAAACACTTAGAATAGTTTCGCCAAAAATCGGAAGTCACTTCGCTTCTAACTCAATACACGGAGAAGAGTGTTTCATTCGAACGACCTCTTCAGATGCTATCCGTTGTGCTTGATAGCTGGCCTGGTCAATAAAGTAAGATTTATTTGATAGATGTGTCTTTGCGCAATAAGTGTCAGCCATGAGCATTAAACCATGCTGAAACGACATTCTCTTTTAAAGCATTAAATGCGGATGAGGGCGCATTTAATATGGTGAAGATAGCCACGTCGATGTTTGGTGTCTCCAATGGAGGGAAACATCGATTGATCTTCACAAAGCATTGGAGATAGAAATACACCAAATATCACACCAATTTAGTGTGAAACTTGCACCATGTTTGTGGTTGGAGATGGTCTAACCAATAGCCACACTCCTTTCTCTCTCCTTAACCCTTAACTCTTAACCAAACCCTGATCTCCTCTTCGGCACCACATGAAGGCCTTGTGGCGACCAGATTTGGTCTTCACGTGGGCCAAAAGTAGTTGCAAAATGGTTGCTTCTTGGCCTTAGCAGTGGCTAGATTTTGGTTGCTGCATGAGGGCCTTGTGGCGGCAAAATCCAGTCGCCACAAGGTTTCACGTGGCATCCAAAATTTGGCCACCCTGAGAGCCAAACAACCATGGAGAGAAGAAGAATAAAAGAAGAAAGAAAGGAAAGAGTTGCAGTTGGTGTAGTGGTCGGATGGCTGTAGTTCATCGGACAATGGTTGCTCATCCCTGCACCTTACCACCTCCATCTACAAATGCCGCCCTGCTCACTAGTTGGAGTTGAGTTTGTTTGGAGTTGTATTTTGAATTTGGGTTTGCTTGAAGATTGAAGTGTGGTGAAATTGGTAACTGTTTTTGGAGTTTGTTTTTGTGGATTGGAGTTTTGTGTGTGTAGTGTGATTTCAAGCCACCTCCCATCTCCCATTTGCCTCCCACAAGCCACCTACCTACATCTTTGCCCACAAACTACTTGAGGAAAGGCCTCAACCACATTCATTCACCACAAACTATTTGGATTAAAATAAAATTTAGATGGTTGGGTGGTTTTGGATTGAAGAAGGTGTTGGTGAATGAAGTTGAAATTTATAAGATTTTCCTGAAAATTTTATTAATTTTGTTGGATGGTGATAGTGGTTGGGTGACTGTGGTAGTGGCTATGTCTATGTGGTTGGAGATGGGAATGATGTGAAAGTTGAAGAAGAGAGTGTTATTAAAATAAATTTGAAAGTAATATGATTATTTTTAATTCTACTAATCTGGGGTTTATTTATTAATTTACTTATCAAGGGTAGTATGATAATAGCACCCTTTGTATCTATGTCAGAACCTAAAAATCTCTAAGGGTGTTACCTTAGTCTTTAAGGGTGGGAATTAGAATTTGTGAAACCAGGGTGGAAACTTGTTATTTTGCAAAACCTTGGGTGGAACATGTCGTTTACTGTTTATAAATAAACATTAACAATAGCAAATAAAATTTTACTTGTATAGGTCAGAGTGACGTGACGTGATGTTGTTTTCTTATAAAAAAACAAAAAAAGTAAAAGTAAACGAATCTGTACTAGATAAGGATTTGACAATTTGATGTTATATAACTTCCATAAATATAAATATGCATATATTTTATTCTAATTAGAGTTGAATGAATCATTGATAACTTATGCAATGAAATCTGAATTATTTTTTTTTTTTTCCATTACGAGATGTCTTCATGATTTCAAAATTGCAATTAGATTAACGCTGATAATTTTTTGATTGGTTTTAAGAGAGATTTTGCTATGAATTTTGAAAATCATTCNGAAAGAAAGGAAAGAGTTGCAGTTGGTGTAGTGGTCGGATGGCTGTAGTTCATCGGACAATGGTTGCTCATCCCTGCACCTTACCACCTCCATCGACAAACGCCGTCCCGCTCACCAGTTGGAGTTGAGTTTGTTTGGAGTTGTATTTTGAATTTGGGTTTGCTTGAAGATTGAAATGTGGTGAATTTGATAACTGTTTTTGGAGTTTGTTTTTGTGGATTGGAGTTTTGTGTGTGTAGTGTGATTTCAAGCCACCTCCCATCTCCCATTTGCCTCCCACAAGCCACCTACATCTTTGCCCACAAACTATTCGAGGAAAGGCCTCAACCACATTCATTCACCACCAGCTGTTTGGATTGAAATAAAATTTAGAGGGTTGGGTGGGTTTGGATTGAAGAAGGTGTTGGTGAATGAAGTTGAAATTTATAGGATTTTCCTGAAAATTTTATTAATTTGGTTGGACGGTGATAGTGGTTGGGTGGCAGTGGCAGTGGCTGGTTGGTTGGAGACGGGAATGATGTGAAAGTTGAAGAATGAGAATGTTATTAAAATAAATTTGAAAGTAATATGATTATTTTTAATTCGACTAATTTGGAGTTTAAAAAGTAATTTATTAATTTATTTATCAAGGGTAGTATGATAATAACATCATTTGTATATGCGTCAGAACTTAAAAATCTCTAACGGTATTACTTTAGTTTCAAGGGTGGGAATATAAAATTTATGAAACCAGGGTGGAAACTTGTTATTTTGCGAAACCTTGCGTGGAACATGCCGTGTACTGTTTATAAAATAAACATTAATAATAGCAAATAAAATTTTACTTGTATAGGTAAGAGTGGTGTGATGTGATGTGATGTTTTCTTATAAAAAAACAAAAAAAGAAAAAGTAAACGAATCTGTAGTAAATAAGGATTTGACAATTTGATGCTATGCAACTTCCATAAATATAAATATGCATATATTTTATTCTATAATTAGAGTTGAATCATTGATAACTTATTAACTTATGCAATGAAATCTGAATTATTATTATTTTTTTTTCCATTACGAGATGTCTACATGATTTCAAAATTGCAATTAGATTAACGCTGATAACAATATAATTTTTTGATTGGTTTTAAGAGAGATTTTGTTATGAATTTTGAAAATCATTCATATTTTGATCAAGAAAAGAAATTAAGTTTTAATGTTTTCCATATATTTGAGTGTAAGTCTTTAGTCTTTACGACGGCCAAAAAAGGAGTAAACTAGCTTCTTCCCACCCAAGGTTTGGCCTAATGACACTTTCTCACATGTCAAATTTCAAAATAACACTTTTCACACCCATCAAATTTCAAAACAACACTTTTCCCATCCACTGTTATGTTTTGTTAGGAAAATCTGTTATCTGGCAGTGTATAAATAGTGTAATGACAAAAATACCCTTTCCTCTTATTCTTCTCTTTGTCGCCTTTGATTCTAGTTGCAATTCCGACCAATTTGCTGGTTGGGGCTTTTCATCGAGCATCTGGTGTGTGTCGGAGAGGAGAGGAAGTGGCAATGGTTGGGGAAGGTGGAAAAACCAGGAAAAACACCCAAATCAAGCCAACAAACGCAACTCAACACACCCACAACACCAAAACAACTAGAACAACAATCAAAATGCTTCAAAAAAAATTCTAAAACAATCAAGTAAAATTTGGGCCAATTTTTTTTTTTTTTTTTTTTTAAGTTAATATACAGGGGATAAATTAACGCAATCACTCCTTGATTTCTTTTTGAATTTACTATTATGTCCTTCTTTAGTTAAACTTGACTGATAGGTTTTAACATAGATGGTAAAGTTGTATTTTGAAACATTTTGGGTGGGAAAGTTTCATTAGGCCAAACCTTGGGTTTACTGGCCAAAAAAATTAGATGATGTTAAGTATTCACTCCTTCTTAACAAAATATATATTAAATTTGTAAGGTTAGGTGTTGACCAACTTTTTTTATTCTTTATAAGATACTTGTATAGAAATAGAAATACTTTTGCAGGATTCTCAATTTGTTAACGGTGGTGGTTGAATTGGAATAAAGGTATTACAACACTTAGGGCTCTTTGTAGAAAATTTCCAGAATTAGTATAGACAATAGAATCTCCCGTTGAATGGTAGGACACATGATCTGACAATGCTTCATGGCTTTTGGGCTCCAATCAAACCATTTGGGTTTTGGTTAAAGAGAGATTTTGAGTAAAGAATATTTTGGATAAACAAACATAAATTGAGTCACGACTCTACAGTCCTAGTGGCTAGTGCCACTGCCAAAGCCAATCTTGCAGCAATTTTTATTTAATTATTTATGTATTTTCACATGTTTCATTCTCTTACTAGAAGTGGTTTTGTTGCATCTACTATAAGCTTCTTGGAGGCATCTACAGATTAAGCAAATATGTTTATCAAAGCAACAATATTCCTTAATATCAATCACCCAGGAGGCCAGGAGCAAGAATGAAGCCATTTTTCTAACTTTTTGAAAACAGGTTTAGGTTATTGTGAAGTTCCATATTACTCCGTGTGAGAGGGGATATATATATATAGGCCTTAATCCAACATGATACATTTTGAGCTTGAAGCTCAAAAACAAAACCATGAGACCTTGTAATGCCAAAGCAGCCAATATCATGTTGGACTATTTATAACACGTTATAAACACAATCGCGATAGAGAGTGTATTGTAAAGTCTCACATCGCCCTGTGTGAGAAAGGGTGCATGTGTATACAAGACTATAAGCCTTAATCTAACACGACACGTTTTGGGCCTGAAGCCCAGAAAAAAAATTGTGAGGCCATATAGTACCAAAGCGAACAATATCATGTTGGGCATTTACAACACAGGTCAAATAGTTGTGTGAATTGAGGTCAAAGCTCAGGCTGTTCTCAGTTGCAAGCAATTCTTTACCTCAGTCATGCACACGTGTACCATTTAGCATTGGTCATTGGGTAATTTCCAGCTTAAGGAACAAGCGAGTTATTAGTTTACTACGCAGGAAAGATCATGCAAGCAAGCATACACAAAACGTAGTGAAGGCACACAACACAAAGTTTAAATAAAAATCAGATGTCATAGTTCACATTGCTCGAAGTATACTCTGATCACATCAATTGTATAACAATGAATGTAAAGTGTTGAACTACAGGCCTTCTACATTAAGATGATCAAAGAACATGAAAGCTATAACTGGATCACATTATTGAAACAGTAAGTACCAACAAGAAACCAACCAACAAGAAGCAGGGTGAAGAATGCCAAGAACTTGATGTAGGTCAAGCCACCAAATGTGAGTCCAAGAAAGGTTACTATAATAAATGGCAGCAAAGTTCGTAATATTGATGTAAAGCTCACCCAACGACCCTTAAGGAAAATAAATGCAGCTAAGTTCACCACATTCCACCCACCAGAATTAAAACCTAATCTGTTCAGGTTGTTGGCTACAAAGGAGTGGCAATTGCAAGTAAAAAGATCGTATGATCGGTGTTGGAACTCCTGTGTACTCTTTCGTAGTGCATCATCCCAAGTCAATGTGTCTCTTCCTGATTCATTTGGCTGGTATTGATCATCACCATTCAATGCAGACAGATAGGGAGAAATACAACACTGCTAGCAAAATTAAAAAGAATACAATCAGGGAGGAGCAGAAGTCAACAACTAAAAAACATGTACAGCAAAATGCAGCTAATTATGTTTTTATAAATTTCAAAATCAGCAAGCTTGTCTAATTGAAGTGCAGCACACCACATAAACCGCGAAAGAGGTTCCGCAAACAATTCACCGAAAAGTGAGGGCATCATAAATTAATAAAGTTATCCACCGGTCTGATGGCAGTGCTCAATACTGTCAGCAACAATTTCAAAATATATGATTTTGAAGCAGCCGAACATTAGCTTCATTTGAGAACTTGAAATTACCTGTTCCTTGTTCACCTGGATGTATCGAGTAGCTGCCCCAAACGAAAAACTGTCTACACACACAAAGTTAGGCCCTGCAAAGTCCAGGATCACCCCATCCTCTCTGCATATGCCAGTATGGCCAATGAAAGGAATCAGCCAGGAAATGACAGGAAGGGGTGACCAAACGATGCAGCATGGAAATCGTGCTCTACTTGGATCAATTTGCATACTTTGTTGGTAACTTTCTTCAATCATCATGCGGTGCTCAGGGTCTGGATTACCTTCCATTGCCAAAGTTCTGCAATCCCAAATGAACCAAACACATGAGATTCTCTTCAAAATAAGCATGCTTAAAATGAACTTAAACTACCAAGAAAAGAAATGCTATCATTTTCTTTTTCCCTTTTTTCTGATAGCAAGAAAACCTCAGCCTCACTACAGTATGCACCAAAGTTCACAACTAGGGACTTACACCAGGAAAAAGATGCTGTTGGGTTAAAGACACATTTATCACACTGAAAAAAAATTCCATCATGTTTTTTCTTTTTCTTTTCCACCCTTATACCTAATCCTCCCCAAATTTAAACAAAAATTTCCCATCCCTAGTCTTCTTGTGCAACCACAACTATATGAAATTCAACAACTAAGTTATTTGATTATCTTACATGATTTCTAACACTACTTTCTCCAAAACGCGTTGTTCAAAAACTATCACCAGTTTACCTTGTGAATTTCCTCAACCACACTATGGGAAGAAATATAACTAAGCTTGCAAAGTTTAGCAGTGTTAAAGGATAGATTCTCATAAGATATACCAATTGAAACTTTAAAAACAAAAGTTACCATTCCACAAATGAGAAATAGTTCAGAATAATTTATCCATTGCCCTAATAGATCATCAAAGACAAAATGTGCAAATGTAGCATCCCACACTAGTTCATAAATCTTACCATCATCTCAGGAAAAAACCTAAAAACAGAAAAATCAATCCACTCTCATTTCCCGTTTATCATAATATAATCTTGTCAAATCCCACCTAAAATCGAAAAGCTACATAAAGTTAAATCCAAATTTGAAGCGTCCTCTTATATTTATCACAGCCAATTCGTACAGTAACATTTCTTGGCCAAGCTTAGATCTAATCCCCAAAACTAGAAGTGACATTAGAATATCAGATTATACATTAATTAATATTTTAATACACATCAAGCGAACTTGATGGAAGATGCAAACATGAAATAATAATAGCGAGAGGAATCAGAGAATACCTTCAATTCGTAATGGGAAGAAAGATGAAAGCCACGAGTTGATCCAAAGCGCCAGATTGACTGACTGGGATAAACGAATTCGTTTATTCCATTTGATATTTCTGGATTTGTTTGGTGAGCGGGTTAATGTAACCCTGTTTGAGATTTTGTCTGTGCTGGTCCTGGATTAGCTGATGTTTGGTTATACTCTCTTTCTTTCTTTCTTGTCTGTGATTCATTGGTTGACTTCAATTCAGAAATATTATCTTTGATGGCGAGAACTTCCATCTTAATTTAAAATTGTTCTCCTTATCTTTCTCCATATCCACATAGAAAATATTAGTCTTTATTTTTTTTAATTTAAAATTCTGATCTAGACTTCATCTTTTGGTTATCAAGCGGGTATTAATTTTTATTTTTTTTTATTTTTTTTTTTGGTTGGAGATGTCTGATCTTAACTAATAGCATTTCCAATTGTGTTCTTTATTTTAAAGAATATCTTTTGTATAAATAAAAAGTATCTCCATTGATTTTTAAATATAAAAAACAAAGTTTTTATTTAAATCTAATAGATTCTTTAAATTTTAGGAGAGAGAATATGTCTTTTCAAAAAAGAAACTTAATAGGAGAAATAAATCATAAATAAAATGAAAGAAAACTTACAATTTATTATTTAAAATTATGATAGAAAGTGAAATTTGACTCACTCTTTAATTTATATTTAAAGAATAAAGAGTCTGTTGGACTCTTATTTCTATGGATAAACTCTTTATAATAAAGAGTTTGAGTTATATAAAGAGTGATTTGAAGATGTTCTAAATATAGAGAATCAAACTTATTATTTAATTTATATTTTAAAAATAAAGAGTCGGTTGGACTCTTTTTCTATGAATGAACTCTTTATAATAAAGAGTTTGGATTATATAAAGAGTCATTTAGAGATGCTCTAATCTCTTAAAACTCTAAAATGAACAATCGGATATTAAAGTTATTAAGTGGGTATTAAAGTTTTTTTTTTTTTTTTTGTTGATCAGAAGTATCTAGATTAATTTATGCATACTTTAACTAATCTCTAAAGTGAACAGTGGGTTATTAAAGTGATTTATTATGGGTATTAAAGTTGTTTAATGTGTTAAAACAGGTTAAAGATGTTTGAGCACCGTGTAAAGAGGAAATTATCAGAAGTCAACTTAAATGGATCATAAGAGCCTCATATATTGGAGCATATTTTCTGAACTTAAAATAAACTTTTTAGTACACGTCGGTTCGAGTGCAGCGAACCTAATGCAGCATAAATGATATTTCAGGAGTCAGTTCACCGCACAAAGTGCAACCAAGTCAAAACTCTTTCCTTTTTAAAGTGTTACACAACTGAGGATAAAATAATCACCTGGAATATGCGAATCTTAGGCCAAATTAAGAGAAATCCTCGCCTCTGTATCCATTCGTATCGGAACTGAACACCTGAGAAGTATAAATAAATACTTCAGCTCAGAGGTTGAAACATACAATTATATCGTGAACATATTAAATGGGTGGTGCAGTGAGTATGGTAATCCTTTTAATTCTACTGCTAAACATTGCCGGNGATTTATTATGGGTATTAAAGTTGTTTAATGTGTTAAAACAGGTTAAAGATGTTTGAGCACCGTGTAAAGAGGAAATTATCAGAAGTCAACTTAAATGGATCATAAGAGCCTCATATATTGGAGCATATTTTCTGAACTTTAAATCTTAAAATAAACTTTTTAGTACACGTCGGTTCGAGTGCAGCGAACCTAATGCAGCATAAATGATATTTCAGGAGTCAGTTCACCGCACAAAGTGCAACCAAGTCAAAACTCTTTCCTTTTTAAAGTGTTACACAACTGAGGATAAAATAATCACCTGGAATATGCGAATCTTAGGCCAAATTAAGAGAAATCCTCGCCTCTGTATCCATTCGTATCGGAACTGAACACCTGAGAAGTATAAATAAATACTTCAGCTCAGAGGTTGAAACATACAATTATATCGTGAACATATTAAATGGGTGGTGCAGTGAGTATGGTAATCCTTTTAATTCTACTGCTAAACATTGCCGGGATATGCAATGGAGGTGTCACTAGTGACTATGTTAGGAAGCCTGAAGCCTCTGTGGACATGCCGATTGACGCCTTCCCTCCACCTTCTGGTTACAATGCACCTGAGCAGGTTTAATATAATCATGTTTTCGGATCCTTTTTATTTTCTCTGCTTTTGTGTTATTGAAGTTTGACATGCTATTTACGGCTCTGCAGGTCCATATAACTCAGGGGGATCATTCTGGGAGGAGTGTGATCATTTCTTGGGTGACCCCTCTAGAGCAGTACCCCAACCTTGTGAAGTATTGGGAAGCGAAATGCCCGATCAAGCACAAATTTAAAGCTCAGTCCAGACCCACAATTTACAAATACTATAATTATATTTCCGGTTACATTCATCATGCCACCATTAACGGATTAAAAGTAAGCGGATGGTTTTTCTTTCAAGCTCTTATTCAATGAACTCATACCAATTAGAAAATTGACGTTCTCATGTTTATTTGCAGTATAATACCAAATACTTCTATGAACTCGGGTCTGGCACTGGAACTCGCCGGTTTTGGTTCACCACTCCTCCAGAAGTAGGACCCGATGTTCCATACACATTTGGGATTATGGGTTAGTTGTTATAGTCTCTGCATTTTTGATTGGGTGGTATGTTCATGAGACGTCCCATTTTTGTTTTTTTTTTTGTTTTCTCTAGTAATGTAGGACATCTTTTTATTAACAGGTGATTTGGGACAAACATATGCATCTAATACGACATTTGAGCATTATGTTTCGAACCAAAATGGACAAGCAGTGTTGTTTGTTGGTGATCTTTCTTATGCCGACCATTATCCGTTCCATGACAATGTGAGGTGGGATACATGGGGCCGTTTTGTTGAGAAGAGCACTGCATATCAGCCATGGATTTGGACTGCTGGCAATCATGAGCTTGATTATGCTCCAGAAATTGTAAGTCCTATGCACCTAAAGTGTATGGATTTGATTTAATTATCAAATTTTCTGTTGATTGTCTAATTGATTTTATGTATTTCAGGGTGAAAACGTTCCTTTTAAGCCATATATGCATAGGTACCATGTCCCTTACAGGGCATCTCACAGTACATCTCCACTTTGGTATTCCATTAAGCGCGCATCAACATACATAATTGTCCTTTCTTCTTATTCAGCATATGGTATTAAACTTTCTTCAGATTTTGTCATTGGTTTAAAATTTTTTCCTGCAGAAAACAAGGGCCTAACAATAATAATATGCTGGTACAGGGAAATATACTCCTCAATACGAGTGGCTTCAAAACGAGTTACCAAAGGTTAATAGAGCTGAAACTCCATGGTTGATTGTTCTTCTTCACTCTCCTTGGTATAACAGCAATGGCTACCATTATATGGAAGGAGAGAGCATGAGAGTGATGTTTGAGCCCTGGTTTGTTGATCACAAAGTCGATATAGTCTTGGCTGGCCATGTGCATTCGTACGAGCGTTCAGTAAGCTTTCTTGTTCCAACCCAATTTCAATCTGCAGATTCTTATGCTTGTGCTGACATCCATGATAATTAAGTGGGAAACAACATTTATTTTAATCCGGTTACTTAAACCCTGTGTGTTTCGTTCGTATATTATCTAACTCAAATTGTTTGCTTTGTTGAAAACTTGTTCTATTTCCTCTAGGAGCGAGTTTCAAATGTGCAATACAACATAACAAACGGATTGAGCTCCCCAGTTAAGAACCATTCAGCTCCTGTGTACATAACCATTGGTGACGGTGGAAATATCGAAGGCATTGCTAACAGGTGAGCTTCTATCATGGTCTATAAAATAGAAAATTTGTAGTTCAATTATCTGAATCTTGACAAATTACCCTATTCTATGTGCAGATTCATTGAGCCACAGCCCAGTTACTCAGCATATAGAGAAGCAAGCTTTGGACACGCAATTCTTGACATAAAGAACCGAACTCATGCTCATTTTACTTGGCATCGTAACCATGATAGTGAACCTGTTGCTGCTGATTCACTGTGGATGTTCAACAGATATTGGAATCCACAAGAAGAGAATAACTAGGCTATGAACAAGTGTTAACAGTCATATTTCTGCTTCAGTAGATTAGGTTGTTTATCTTTTTCATTCACCATTTTGCTCAACTAGCTTTTATGTTTGTGATCTCTGCGTCTTTTATTTGTGCTGTTAGATTTATGACCTTTAGAACAAAAAGGAATTCAACTTAATTAATTGTTTGCTGGCATCTCAACTGTTGACCGCAGCACTATGGTTGTTTGACTTGAGTGAATTCAGTATGGCCTTTTTATTTCCACCAAGTACCAACTAGTGGCTGAAGTTCTGTGTCTTAGTTGTTAATTATAGCCCTTTCACTCCGACTACTTGATATCAAGACCTAATATATAATTCTATTCACATTGGATCCTGTATTTTTTTTTTTTTTTCAGTTAACTAGGGTATTTGAGACAGTTTGCGTATACCTCAACTAATATCCGAAGTCTATTTGAACAATCCCAAAAGACTAAGTAAACTATAATATTATTGTGGTAAGTGGTCCCAAGGTTTGAACGCAATAACTCAAGGAAGGGAACAAATTTTCTTGACCATCAAGCCAACCCCACAGGTTCGGATCCCATAATTTCAATACTGCAAAAACTTGAGCTCTTGCTGTTGAGAGAATTCTATAAAAAAATTGTAATGAACTACTAAACAGCTATTGAATGCATAAAGTATTCTCGCACACGCATTTTCAAGGCCACATAAATGAACAGCATGACCCTCTGAACTTGGAGAAGTCAAGACGTTTGGTATTCTTATTATTTATACGCTGAAAAGGCAACAATGGATGGTGTCTGCAACATCCATCGATTTACTATTTGCTTTTCAAATTATTTCACAGGCCCAATTGCCGCCTGTCTTGTCTACCTCTGATTTTAACTAAATATTGGAGCCTTCACATGGTCTTCTTTTTAAATTGATTTCAAAAGCCACTGCTCACAATCAACTGCTCTTGTTACTTGCAAGTAACTTGAAACCAGGAGCTGTTGACAGATTTTGTTGAAAAGTTGGAAGTGAAATCTGAGGCCTCTCTGAGTCTCACTCAACAATCAATTAATGGTTGGATGAGTGATGATTTACTTGGACCCTCCACCACATTGTTGTCAGATAATGAGGAGATTATAACTACCTTTTCTGTGCTATACTTACTTTCCTCATTCTTTCCCAGAACAACCAGATACAATCCGGCTATAATTAACAAAGCTCCAATAATCCTGCACATTGCATCCAAAGTAAAGAAGTAAAGATTAAACAAACTATTATAACCATGATTGCAAGAGTAAATCATAATAATTCAAAACAAAAAAATCAATTTGCAATTTGGTTGAGAAGACTTACCCTCCCAAGTAAAATTCTTCTCCAAGAGCAACTGTGGCCACTATAGCAACAAGCATTGTTTGTAAAGGTAAATATGCTGAAACAAACACTGGACCTCCCCTGTCAATGACATAAATCTGTACTGCGAATGCCATTGCTGAAGCCACCAATCCCTGCAGTCACTCATTTCTGTTATTCTTCCACGGAAAATAAAATTAGAAACGTGAAAGCAAATAGAGAGCGACTTAGAAAAAGTGGGATTGCTACAACTATTAGGATCGAAGCTTGACTAATCAGGATTGACTGCTTGAGATAGGTTTTCTTATATCAAAATTGTGTTTGATCGTGGACTTAATCACATTGCACAATGTTGGAAATGGAACTAATGATTTTTCTTCGTTATGCCAAGATGTGGTTAATTAAATCCCCAAGACCATAACTAGCTACCAAACAATTTAAACAAAAAGATCATGATACTAATTGAGTCACATACCGAGTAAAAAAGGCTGAAGAGTTCATAGCCGGAGTGAATATGCCAGGCTTGTGAATCTCTTTCAAAGTATGCTGCAATCGCAAAAAACTGCATAACACTAAAGCAGCAACTATAGGAGACGACTGAGAGCCGAGCAGGGTATTTCTTCAAAACAGGAGTTTGCAACACTATCCAGCTGGACCAAAACAGGCAGTGACCAATGAGACAGATGCAACCTAAGGTCCAATTCTTCTCTTTGGTATCTCCCAACAACAAATCAGATTTTTCTGAAGATGGGTTTGGACTATAAATAATTGGTCCTTTGTATAGGGTTATGACTGAAGCTCCAGCAACAGAAACAAGAGTTCCAAGCACCTTAGCTATTCCATCTTTCCGGGTCAACTGTACTTGCTCTATTCTGCAAAACAAAGCATAAAAAACAAAAAAATCAATAAATTATATATATAATTTTGCTCAAACTAGCAACAAACCAATTATGCTTGAGGGTCACAGAAATTATGGAGATGGAAATTAAGAGTTTTATTAATTGGTACCCGAGAATCGCGGCCATGATAAAGGTTACGGCAGGTACTGCATTCTCTACGGCAGAAGCGAATGTAGGTGAGGTGTTGTCCAAACCAAAAATGTAAGATCCTTGATTCAATGTTATTCTGCCACAAAGAGAGTAAAGAAGTTAATGTTCTGAAATCATTTGGTCATCATACATTAATAATCTAATGTTTCTATAATCAAATCGTACCCAAGAAATCCAAGGAAAAAGAATTGTATGAGAAATGAGGGGGTTAATCCTGGCCTGTCTTTCCTGGAAGCCAGGAAGAAAAAGAACAAAAATTGTGAAGATTGGAGCCCAAAACAAGATTAAATTTACATATTATGAAGACAACAATATCATACTTCTCTAGGAAATATGCGAAGGGAAGCAGCACAATGAGAGCTATGATGTTTCTGTAAAGAGGAAAGACTAGTTTGCTTACGCCCAGATTGAGAGCACCTCTCATGATAACATGGTTTCCCGCATAACCAAACTGAAACACTGTCATGGCTATGTGCAACTTGGCTCGTTCAGGCACCATGCCAATTCTCTTAACCGGTGCTAACCCATCTTCCGCCATCGGAGCAACCGCTAGATTCAAAAGAGAAGGTAAAGTTTCAGTATAAAAGAAAACTTAAACCGATATAAAGGGGAAGAAGAGAGGGACAATATACGAGGAGATGTCCCACAAAATTGGCTAAGCAAAATTTTAGTACAGACTGAAAAGCAGTATTTAGTGGAGAAATCATATAAATTAACGCAACTTCTGAACTTAACAAATGGTCAAACCATCAATTATTTTGTATCTTACAGAGTCCAAGTTCTGCTGCCATTGCACGTTAAGGCAACCATCCTGCGGTATTTTTTCAATTAATTAATTGAATGGTGCTATCAGTATGATGAAGGAGACGACAAGAAAACTAATTAAGAATAAACAAACGGATTTGGTTTGGTCTTCAGTATCAGTAATCAAAATCCTAAACGGAACTAGAGCATGTGGGTGCAAAGTGTGAACTGTAGAAGTGCTACCTTACTCGTTGAGTAATATCCCGGCACCTTAAAACTATCCATGAGAACTTCCGTGGTTAACTTTATTAGGCATCGAGTAGAGGTTCAAACTTAAAACCTCTTAAATGATACACCTAAGAAGGCGTTTGATTCAAAGAATATTAGATTATTGAGAATATTAGATTACTAGAAAGTTAAATTACCTTGAGAAGATATTTGGTTTAGGGAATGTTAGATTACTGGAAATATTGGATTATTGGAAAGATAAACTACCTTGAAGATTAATAGAAATCTTTAAGAAAATGTGTTTGGTTAGTTGGTAGGTATGTTATATTAATATGTTTGATTATGGGGAATAAATTCGTGAGTATGTTATTTAAATTACTAAACTGTCCCATTTTTAAATATTAATATAATATTATTTTTATTATTAATTTTTGAATAATTTCTCTTAACCCCTAATATTTCAGATTTGGCTAAAACACCCTTACTTATATAAAACTTTAATTTATGATGAAATCACCCCCACCTCCTGCCGCGGCAAACCACTGCCAAAAGTCTTCGAAAGTCCTTGTGAGTAGCTCACCATGACCAAGAGGCTCTGATATGGTTGTTTCTGTTCATATTGATGGCCGAAAACAACCATATCAGGCCAAATCTGGCTGTTAATGGCCAGGGATCTGGCCGTTACCGGCCAGTTCCATCAATCTAGCCATAATGGATCTGGCCATTTTCTGCCAGATCTGGCCTGATATGGCCATTTTCGACCATCAATATGGTCGGAAATGGCCATATCGAAGCCTTTCGGAGCCTTCCACTGAATCTCGTTCTTTTTTAGGGACACCAGCAGCGGTCCGTGGTGGTTGGCCGGCTATTGGCCGTGGTGGCTGGGTGGCAGTGGTGGTCTGTAAATTGTTTTAAATATAAGGGCATTATTGTCCAAAATTTTAATTAAACAAGGGTAAAATTGAATATTAATGTAAATTCATTTTAAAATAGGGGCATTATTTTCCAAAAATTTTATTAGTAAGGGATAAAATTGTAACAAAAAAAGATAACCCTGGTAATCTTAGAATACCTAAGAAAATAGAGGTAATCAGATTACCTCCAATATTACCAACAGTAACCACTACTAGTATTTGAAAATTACTGGTATATTATATTACTTGACAACTAAGCATGGTAATCAAGTAATATAAGATGACTTAACCCCTAGTAATCCCACATAACCCCCAACCAAATGCCTTCTGAAGATTATTGGGAATCTTTAAGAAAATGTGTTTGGTTAATTGGTGGGTATGTTATATTATTATGTTTGGTTGGGAGGAATAAATTGGTAGATATGTTATTTAAACTACTGAATTGTCCTCTAATTAAATATTATTATTATATTATTTTTTAATATTGATTATTATTTGGATTATTATAACCCCCTTTGCATTTAAAAACTTAGCAAAAACAATCTCATAATAAAAGTTTGGAAAATCAATAAAGCACTCCCACTAACCCAACCACTGCCAGTCGCCGGCAACCATCGTAGGCCGCTGGCAGCCGGCAACCTAACGGCACACAAAAGGCAAGAAATGGCCTCCGTGCGTCGTATGACCATTTTCGGCTAAAGATCTGGTTGGAAATGGCCAGACGTGGCAAATTTGGCCGTCGATGACTAGATTGATGACGGATTTGACCTTTGACGGCTAGATTAGATATGACCATCAACGGCCAAATCTAGCACGATCTGGCCAGAAATGACCATATTGGCGCACGACGACCATTTTCGGCCTTCTGTGCGCCGTTTCGGTGGCGACTAGCTGCGACGGTGGTTGTCAGCGGCAGGCAGGTGGGGGTGGTGGTGGTTTGGGTGGGCTGCAATTTGTTTTGAATTCAAGGGTAATTTTGTCCAAAAAGTTAATTAATTGGGGTAAAATAGTAAAAGTCATATTCATGTAAATAAATTTAAAAATAAGGGTATTATTGTCCTAAAATTTTATTAATAAGAAATAAAAT